TAATTTTCACCTTGGCCTGTTCTAGTTGCTCCGCAATTTTTTCGATCTCTGCTTTGAGCTGGTTACGTTCGCTTTCAGCTTGCAATCGTTCTTCACGCTCCCTGGCTAACTGCGCGGCTTCTTGCTTGAATTAAGATTAAAAAAAGATACGGGGAGGAAAGCGGAAATGAAGTGAACTAGTTAGTCTTACTTGTCTTCGAGCCCGATCTTCTTTTGCCAATGCTTTCATTTGTTGCACCTTAACAAGTTGCTGTTTTCAGATAATTTCAAGCTATAAAACAAAATACCTCGAGAGTATCGGGCTGCCGTCGCCTGAGATAGAGATTGTGGGTTCCTATACATAGATCAAGGATAGAAGGATTCATCGTCCTTTCCTTTGCTCGGAAAGATACACCGGATTTGTCCACTGTTTTCATATGAAACTGAATTTGTACTTCAACAGGCCAAAGTTCCATTTCTCAAATAGACAAGCAAAAAAGTAACCTTTTTGTTTTTGAATGTAATATTCTTGATCTCACTCCATGAAAAGAATGGCCTGGGAGTAATGCGATTCGATCCTTTGTAGATGCCGAGGCCCTGTGCTGATATCCCGAGATGCAAATCAGTATCCTTCTTGTTCTGAAATAGGACTTTGCACATTTTAGGCTATAATCCAAATCTGAACTAAGTTAACAACAAATAGATATGGTTTCGACAACATACGCAGATGGGGTAATAGAGTATTCCATACATCTCAAGATCTTGCGCCACCCGAAGATACTCCATTTCAGCGTCTTCTCTGAATTTTGATGTTAATGTAAAAATTCTGTGGAGGACTATATACGACACATGTAGATTTGCGAAATCTCGATGTCCCTGGTTAAAGCACTTAAAGCACAGTTTTACATTTGTCGCACATTCAACTGCAGCATGAAGAAGACTGCGTGAAGCGAACTCTTTGTCCTCTCGCTGTAATCCCCCACACTTATAAACCTATATCGATTGCAACTTCGAATCAAAAATGTCGCTCTAAGGTTCTGTTTATGTTCACATCAGAGGAAGAACTATGGGAAGATGAGAACACCTTTTAACCCCTAACCTTTTAACCCGCTA